TTCATGCAAATTGCAGAAGAGAAGATGGCGCGCTGGCTGAAGGTGCCACGGATCGGGATTTATTCCCTAGAGACCGAGAAAGTGGTCTTTCCCCCGGACCACTTCCAGACCGCGAAGGAGAAGGCGCAGGAGCAGTGGGCCAAAAAGGAGATCGGTCCGGAGGTGGTGATGTGCAGCGAGATCTTCGAGCCCCTGGTGGAGGGCCAGAAGCTGCCGGTGGACAAGGACGGCGCTATCACCGGCAAAGCTCGCGGCGTCGACGCGAACGGCGCGGTCTACGAAGGAGACTTCGTGAGGCACAAGAGGGAGGGACGCGGAAAATACACCTGGCCGAACGGCGACACGTACGAGGGAGAATTTGCCCACCACAAGATCCACGGGCGAGGCATGTATCGGTACGCCAGCGGAGACGTGGAGGTGGGATCATACGAAGCGGACGAAGACACGGGTGTCGGAGTGAAGCGCCTTGCGGACGGCAGCTATTGGCAGCTAGACGCTGGCAAGGTGGTGAAGAAGATCAGTGAGGAGGAGGCGAAACGGCTGGTGAAGCAGCACACCTTGCCGTCACTGTGGTGAGAACCCAGCCCTTCGCCCAACCTCTCTGATTGTGCCACGGACAAGAGCTGTCTCTTTTCTTCTTCCCAGTTGCTGGGCGCCTCACAAGCCTTCCACTTTCAAGAAGTCTGAAGCGACGGAGGCGCCCAGTGGCCGAAAGCGACAAAAAGTCGAAGAAGAAAAGCGGTGTCAGCGGCCAGCAGCGACGGTTAACTTTTTGTGGAAGTCACGGGCATGAGGGGACGTAACACGACCACCACTCACCACGCCAAAAGAAAGATCATCCCACATTGTCAACACCATGAAATCGCTGTGTGCGTTTGTTCCTCATTTCTTTGCTCGCAGGTTCCCTGACGCGGCGTGCTTGCTCAGGCGTGGAGTGCAGGGGTGCAGTGTGGGGATCCGCTCTGATTCTGAATGTGGAAGGGGGCGCCCAGCGGCGGCCTAAAGAGACAAACAGTCACTTACTGTAAGAAAGAAGAACAGCGGCGCAGCCAGCGGCCAGCAGCGACAGTTAGGACGTAACACGACCATCACTGCCATAAGCATACCCATCGAAGGTGTGTTGGTTGACGTCCACAACCCAATCCATGTGCGACCATGTGCGACCTTCTCTTCATGACTCATGACGATTGATGAGAATGGTATTAACTACTTGCTTCTTTTGGGGGATTGAAGCAGATGAAAAAGCAGGGGGGAAGGGACCAACATCCACTTTTCGTCTTTAGGGTTCTTCAACCTCTGCTGGAAGCAGGGGGGGAGGGACCAACCTCCACGCTGTCTCTCAGCGGAGTTTTCCGCCTTCCCTACCGCTGGAGACATGGCGTTGGGTCCGTCCGTCGGGGTCGGTCCCCCTCAGGCCGCGTGGCTCGTGGCTCGTGGCTGGCTTCCTTCGCCGAGGCGCGAGGTGCATGCGGAGCGACGTGCTTTCGGTGGTGCCACGCGGAAAACTGCGCCGAACGGGGATGAACAGGGATGAAAGCTGCGCTGGAGGAGGATGGGAACCTCTTGAAGATGCGGAATTCGGCGTTGGACATGTCCGAATGCTTCGTTTTTTTGAGGACCATTTTCAGACGCTTGTTGCTTGGGGGAAGGAAGAAGGATGAAGAAGGTGTTTGATGGTCTTGGCTTTTCTCTTGTTGCGGGCGGGATTCTAGCAGTCTTTTTGAGCAACCTTTTGGCCTTATAAACCACCACCGTGGCTGCCGAAAGCCCGACCAAACGGCCCTTACCCGAAACGAATTCGCCTCGTGAAGAATTCGCCGGGGACCGACTCGACCCGCCGAGACAGGTCGAAACACGCGTCGAAGGTCTCCGCCAAATGGGTCGAAGAACCAGAGGTTGAAGGACCCGAACTAGCCTATCCCATAGTTATTCCAGTAAGGTCCTAGTTCAGGTCACTTAACCTCTCTTGGAAGGGCAGCTTTTCGAAGCATGTCGA